ACTCATTAATTTATGGGTTTATTATTTTCAGTTCGTGTTTCAGCGTTAATAAAACTATTGTTTGAAGAGAAGTTTCATTCGATGGTTGAGGAGTATTTTAATAATTATCTTTTCATTGTATTATTTGTGACTAATTGAGAAACATCAAACGAAATCTGTTTTATAAAAATGAGTGATGAACAAGGAAACCATGTCAATTTCCGTTTGAAACAGTTTACCACATCATATGAAGATCTTGATCTGCCAATGTCCTCTCTCTCATAAGACAAAATGTAGGGTGTCTCCAGAGGCTCCAATAGATTGAATACATCGCCAGAACACTTCGTGGCACGACTATCGTCAAACTTAAACCAGTCCGTTTCGTCTTTGACCAAGGCGTAATAATGACCTAATTCAACGCCAGAACCACAGTGAACAATAACTGCATGAATTTTATAATAGCGATCTGCTAGATTAAAATGTTCATTTATTTCGAACCTTCGAAAGAGTTTCTTGCTTCCGTCAGAGGTTGAGTCTTTAAATAAATTATTGATCATATCCATCTATAATGTCACCATTCAGATTTCTAGATTTTTCTTGAAGAAAATCCAATATGTTTTTTTTTTAATAAAAAAGAAGCTGTTGATGCTGGTTATCTCTTATACAGAAAAGAGTTGTGTTCCTTCGGTGATCTTTGTCCAAAATATTTTGACATGAAAGGTACAATATGACATTTTTTCCGAGTATCATAACACTGAGTGGACAATTGGGCCTGATTTTTTTTGGAATGATAGTTCATGCTGACTTTGAGGTAATGCAACTGTCTCAAGAACATAACTGAAGAGACGATCAAATGGGTAAATATAGTTTTTTATGAAAATAATCTCAAGTAACCTTTCTGAAGAACTTCTAACGGTCAAAGGTTAGTTTTTATCATTCCACTCTCCACTCCGCGTCCCAGAATCCCGTAACGTGATCAGAAGTTGAACAATACAAAAACAATAAATATGGTAAAAATGCCACCCCTACTTTCAACCCCCTTCGAATGACATGTACAACCTCTAATTTTTCAAATGGGAAGTATAGATTTTGACATATCGTTTGAAACGTATCTTCATTCTCTATTCAAAAATGTTATCGCTTTCAATTTTATTGCAATAATTAAGATAAAATGAATTAAAATCATGTAGTTACCGAAATTCGATAAAATACACTCAAAAACTAAAATGTAATGCAAAACGTAGTGGAATGTAGAATACGAAAAAGAACTATGGATGTTAACGAAGTAGATGTTTAAAATGCGAACGTATTGGCACCATCCTAATCTCAAATAAATTTGTCTTCTAACATTATTCAACATATCAGGCGTGACCGACTAATCGCAAGCGTTATTCGTTCTTTTAAATCAATCAAATCTGAAGGTTCAGTTTTGTACACATTGCTCTTTACATATCTCCATAAAAATAAATCTAATGATGAAAGATCAGGTGATCACGCTGGCCATTCAATCGATTCTCGCCTCCCTATCCACCGATTGGGAAATGTATCGAGGTATTGCCGGACATTAACGTGTAATGTGCTGGTGCTCCATCCTGCTGAAACCATATCGTATTAACTGTAACTTTTGAGGGTATTGCGTGTGTTCTTCTCTCATCCAGTGAGGATGTTCTGTTTACCAGTAGCGGTAATTTTGCCGATTAGCATGACCGTTAAGAGACAAAGTATACACTCGTCAGAAAACATAACGTCTTCTACTTGGATGATATTGTTATCCAACATGTCCATCATTTGCTCACAAATATAAGTTCTTCTTTCAAAATCGTCTTTCATGAGCTCCTGAGTAGGTATCATTTTATAGGCATGCATTTTATTTTATTTTAATATGTTAACTATCGATGTATGGCTAACATTGAATGTAGTGGATGCCTGTCTACTCGATGTATGTGGGTTTTCTTCAAAATCAAACATCACATCTAATTTGAGTTCATCACTCATTGCATTGGCAGCTGCTTTTTTTATCTGCCCCACATGACCAAGCTTGCGAAACTGCTCTATTTTGCTTATTGTTCTTTAAGATATGGGCGGTAAATTAGGAAATTTCTCATGAAATAGGCGAGCTCGGGACATAGACAACTCAACTTTCAAATTCAACGTGCCAAAACAGTGAGAAATGAAAATCACCTTTTGTTGAGATTCATGAGACATCCCGTATAAATGAATTCGAAAAGAAATTACTAACATCATCTTGGCAACACAAAAAAATCCTTTGAAACTTTTTTTCAATTATATTCCACTTCACTTTTGAAACAACATTTTTTCTGTCCTAGGCCATTTACAAGATGGTCGGCTCTGTAATGAAAATGCCTGAGGATGAAAGCACGCCGGAAAAACGGACCGACAAAATCTTCCGTCAGATGGACCGCAACAAGGACGGGAAGTTGAGCCTCGAGGAATTCATAGAGGGCGCAAAAAGCGATCCCTCCATAGTGAGACTGCTGCAGTGTGATCCGCAGGCCCAGTAGTCGGACTGCTGAAAAACAACAACAAAAGACCTTTAATTTTGAGTTGTGTATATCAACCACTATTGTGTGATCGCGAGGTTAAAACGACAAAATCGCGGTTTTGCGATAGATTTTTTAAAACGAGGTTGTAGAACGTTTTTATTGATCCGAAAAATACTCAGAGACCGAGCACGATGGATGATGTCGGTGTGACGAAGCTTTAGGCTCATAGTTGAATTAAATTTTGCCTTATTCTTCTGGATTTTTGTCCGCTCTCTAAACAACGAACTTTCCACTTCAATCGACCTTTCAATATCACTTTATTTTGTCTAGCTTCGCCGAATTTGAAGCTTCACTCCTCTCAATATTCCCATTCCTCAATCTCCATCGTTTTCGGTCTTTATACACATATAATGTCGACCATCCGAAGTGATTTTTCAAACCGCGGATTGTTAGCTCATCCTCGCATAGTTTTAGATTATTATATTTAAACATTAAATTAATACGATATTGATAAGCAGGAATTTTTAAGAATTCTCTATTCAGTCAGTTGGGAGAGATTTTTGAAAACTTTTAAATTTTTGTAGACATTGGAAATATTCAATATTATTTGGTATCGACTAAACATAAGTTTTAAATTCATGTCATTTTCATTGTAATTCTTGAGGTTTTATCTGTTTATCTTTAAAACTATTTCCATATAGTGAGCTTTCAAAACGAATGACATGTTTTCTTTCTAGAGTTTGTTGCTATCTCGGTAGTTCTCAGTTTTCATGAAAAAAATTTCGAATCCTAACCTAATTTCTCTATTATCACAAATACACCATATTTTCTCAGTCATGAATGTAAACAATGATTCCATATATCATGTCTAGAGTTCTTTTCAATCAAAATTTCATTTATTTAGTGAAATTTTTTGTGTTTATCCGCTATCATGAGAATAACCAGAATTGCATGTACCAAAAAACGTCAAGATATCATTGACATTATTAACAAATATGACGAGCATTTCGGCAAATCATCGATTGAGACGGAACGAAAAATTGCAATACAAACTACCATTTCTATTCTCATCATGAGTTGGTTATCTGTTAATATTGAAAGTGTCACAGGTAGAATTAAAATATTCGAAACATAACCTCTTAGTGAAATAATTACCACTAATTTTATATCCACATTCCTCTATTCGATGTTGTGTTCTTTAACACTTATTGTTACATATCTTCTAGATTGGACCACGTAAACTACATTATTAATCGTATAGAACTAACAGTGTATGCACTTTTGAAATGGTTTTTGTAAACTCATGAACCATATTTCGAATATTATAAATCAATAGAGTGACACTAAGTCGAGTTTCAGATATATTTTCCAAGGTATGTCGAATACAAAGAATACTACTTTTTAATAATTATACAGTAGCATCTAGGACGTAACTTGGTTTTTTCCTGATGACCTGATGAAATGAGTTTTGAAGAATTCTTTTTAAACCAATGGTGAAGTTTTACTAAAACGACTTCAAGTACATAATCATATTTTATGAAAGTCACCAGTTTCACTGATATTTTAGGGGATCGGGTGATATTTTTCATAAATCTTCCTCAACTGACAAATCTATGACACATTATACTGATCTTCGACTATACCCTTACTCTATATTATTGTAACCCAAATAATCTTCGATAATATTCGAATATCAATTAAATGTTACTGTTTTGAAAGTTTTTATGTGATTCTAAGGAAGTTAAATGTAGATGGTCTATTTCAAACTGGAGTTTCATTATATATAATTGTTATTTCGATGGTAATTGGTGCTTAAAATGGGGCAGTGTGCGTATAGTTGAGTTAGAAAGCCCGCTAGAAGACACCTGGTGCCACCTGTCCCAATCTTCACCTGCCGCATTTGAATATCTCTTTTGAACTGATCTTCGAAGACCTCCCAAAATTACACGTCGAGTTCTGAATCCAATTTTTTAGAACACAAGTAATTATTCATCATTCAAAGCGAGTAACGATAAATAGTTTTCTGATATATTCGACGAAAATTTTAGACTGTCATTATTGATCATTAAAATGAAGTTAAAAATCATGCGTGTTCCTTTATTCATCAATTATATCATTGATGTATTCAGAATAGAATCGAACTGTTTCTTTGAAGATGATGCAATCTGTTGTTTTACAAATTGTTTGATATTGGTTAGTCCAATCATTCCAACGATAACTGCAATATGTCTGGTTTTGTAGTTCAACTAGTAGTATAACCCTGTTGAGTAGTATGGAATAGAGCATTCCCAAAGATCTGACGTACAACTCAGATATACGACAGACAAGCTGCCCCGAATTCAAGCGCTTCATATGAATTTCCAGTAGCCAAATATCTTGACTTATTGCGTCATTCGTGACTATATTTTGTTTCATAATTGTTGCTGTAGTAACTGAGTTTTTGAATGAATCGTCGACCATTTGTAAGTAATTTTTAAAACCTATGGGTTCTGTGGTGCGTAGTTAAGTAGATTCATATGCGGTTTTTAATTATAATTACCGTAAAATAACACGACTACTATAGTAACTAACTTTTTTCAAATAGCTTGTGCCATGATGGGCAATATACTGAACTAGTTCTACAATCGGTCACCTGAAATCTATGTGATGAAATTGGCCGATACTTGATGCAAATTTCATCGACATTTGAAAACATTCAATAGAAGGGAAGAATTCAGTTCTATTTGGTCATTTATTGAATTCGGAGAATCCCTAAATTTTTTAATTCACAAGCATGCCAGAATCTATCTATTACAAATGTAATACCTCATAATCGTGCTTGGGCCTATTCCCCTTCTGTCAAAAAATGGCTTGCAAATGTGGATTTGTCATTCACATTCAGTGTTCTTTCATTCTTTAGAAAAAGGTTTCCCTCGTTTGGCCAATATAAAGTTTTGGGCAAGATCCACAAGTCAACTTATATACTCCTGATGTATTCGACACTGAAATTTTGTCTTTATTGTTTTCAATTAATTTGAGTATTTTTTGCTAAAATTCGATATTGGCAAAACGGTAAAATCCTTTTCCCAAAGAATGAAAGAACATAGGAGGATTAGGTAAAGAGCTATTCCACGCATATGCAAACCACCTTTTAGCAGGTGGCCAAGAGTTCAATCATGGCTATGACGAAGCAGAAGGGTTTGAAACTCAAACTTTCGGAATGCTTAGAAATTAATAGAATGGAAATTACTGAATGACCAAACAGAATTTAGTTATTTTCCTCTGTTTAATCTGTTTTCTATTGTGGAAATTGGTAACTAGTTCATTACATGGTCATTTAATGTGTTTTGGTTAGTTTATGAAATTCGACAATATGTGATGGAAATCCATGATGTGAAAGGTGAAATTATAAGTCATTAAGTAGGTAGAAGGTCATATAATTCAAATTGTCACGTAGCGTAATAATTAGGTAGAATTTATCCACTATGAACACGCCTGGGGAAGCTGTTTCATAGTGAAACACGTTATGGTTTGGTAAAGTGTCCAGTTGAAATCTTGCTTCTTGAAAACGTTATGAATTTTATGGATTTTCATAATGGACAATTCCAAGTATCGGACAATTCCATCACGAGTGTTCTCCTATACTTTCAATAAAAATGTTCTGCTGATATGGTTCTAATCCATCAACCTATCAACATGGTGCACTCCTTCTTTCATCAAAAATGAGTTCATCAATTCAATTATAAATTATTCAACGACTTACCCACTGGTATATGTTGATTACAATGAGTTGAACAAGTCAGTTACCTTTAATAGCTGCAAAACACCGCCTAGCCTTCAACAATTTCATCGTTTTTCTGCATTGAGGGAAATAAGTAAGGTTTACATCCCAATTATATCGAGTTTAATTTGTTAAAATGTGTGCAAATTCATAATTTTTGATATTTTGCCATGCTTAATAGTAACATTTTTAATATTGTATTATAAGTTTGCATGCATTCTGTCCGATTCAACTTGGTGTACGGGGAATATATGTTGGTTTTTATCTCTAGAAAGAGGAAACAATAATAATAGAGACTCAAAAAACTCAAAACCCAAATTTTAGGATTTATGTGAAAAAAGAGCGCCGATTTATGTTCACTTCAATCCATTTCACAGGTCTAGGCATTGAGTCGCTGTGAAACCCTTTCAACACTGCCTAGCCTCCAACTGTTTTATTGTTTTCAAGCATTGAGGTAAATAACTGATGAAATTCGTCTGATCAAAGAACACGCTTGACGGTTTTTCAGTTAACCAGCCATCGTTCCCAAATAAATGATGACTTTACAAATTTGATCTAAGAGTTTATGAGGTTCCATCTTACAATTCTCAGCACTCATCAGTATTTATTTCACAGTGTGTTTTTCAATACTTGGCATTTTTTCTTGATAGAAAAAATATTTAAGACTGATATACATCTCAGATTGTGGGAGCTCTTTTAGCTAACTTCAGCTACTTCATTTTTATGAAGAGGTCAATAAAAATTATGGATTTGATGGGCGGTCATTACTTTATTCTGTGTAAACTTGACACTGATAGTTCTAAGAACAAAAACAACAGAATCACAATCACAACTTGTCAGCTGTATTCTATATATGAACAGACTGTGTTTCGTTCGTCATATAAGGAAATAAATCTCCTTGGTATTTTGAGAACCAAGCTATATTATAAGGTTTGTGGGTCAGTTGTCGATACTAATTTATGGGAGGTCTTCCTATACCTGCACCTTCTTTCGATTTAAAATAAGATGTGTTCGATAAAAAATAGTGTAATAAATACCAGCATTAAAAATGATGAAAGCATGGCCAGCTGCAAAACCTAAGAATTACTATTTTAACTGAAAATAGCCTACATTTTCGTAGGTACTTGTTGCTTCAATTATCATTCATTTCGTCGATTAATTATGGTCCAGAAATTAGGAACTGCTGCTGATGATACAGCGGACTTATTTTGGCTGAATGACTATGTATGATTCTTCTACAACGTGCAAAAAGGCCTAAAATTCAAAAATGTGAAGAATACAATAGATCTAATCGTTTAGTCTATCAAAATTAGTTTTGTACTGCAGGCCGTCCAAAAGGCCTTAGACACAAGCAGTGCGCAAGCACACCGAACATGTCTTGATCTTCCCTAAGTCTTGCGCGATTGTGGTTTCGATTATCAATCAACTTACTTGTCTACATATAATATCAAAATAAAATTTGCTGAATCAAATGTTAATATGTGTTTTATTGTATACATTACCCACGAAAATTGTAGTTTTCATTCAAGGTCATATAAAATCAGCATACATTTGTATGGTTTGAAAAACTATCAGGTTTTTTCAAAAGTTTTGTCCATTTTGATGTCATGTATATTTTTAGCTCCATATCTTAATACATATATCAATTCTACTGTGCTGTGGTACTGTTTTACGTTGGTTTGCGAAATTTCGTTCTAGTTCAACATTTGATCAATGAAATCCAAGATATTATACTCCCGGATTATGCCAAATTAATTTCATTCGATGTAAAGAACCTGTTTCCCAGTATTCCTCCGAATGAAACGATTACTCTTGTAGAGAATCTATTGGACGAAAAGTCTATCAATACGGTAGTGAAAAATGAAATACTAGACTTGCTTACGGTGTGTTTATCACAGAATTATTTCCAATTCAATGAAACTTTTTACTCATCTTGCAAAGGTCTCATAATGAGAAACCCACTTAGTCTTATTCTGGCAGAGATTTTCATGGACGATTTGGAGAGAAGAATACAAAGTAATTTCAATAAAGAACTGAATATAATAAAGCAAATAGCCGTCAACAATGATTAACGATGACGGTCTAATATATTCTTTATTATCAAAAAAGTTATACAGTGTAGCTTTGAAAGAAGTTTACCCAATTCGAAGAGAAGAGGATAAAAGTCATAGAACCTTAACCTACTTAGGCCAACCCACTACAAATATTTCAGATTTTCTGCACGGCAAAGGTGTAAATATTGAAATATTGTTTTCAAAGCCAACAACAACGTAGGCATGCACATTAAGAATAACAAAGATAAAAGTTCAGTTTCAGATAAATCAGGAGTGTATAAATTATTGTGTGTGGGTCATGTCAAATGTTTTATATAGGTCAAACTGGAAGAGTGTTCAAAGCACTCATAAAGGAACACAAATATAGTTTCCAGAATGGAAAAATAAATTCCACATATGCCACTCATTTAATCACAGAGGGACATGAGTTCAACCATGAATACAAGCCCCTCCATTTCCAGAAGAAACGTTTGAAACTTAACCTGTTGGAGAGTATGGAAATAAACAAATTCAAAAACTCTCAATATCTGATGAACGATCAAACTGAATTGAATAATTCGCCATTATTGAATCTGTTCACTTCCAGGCGGGTTGGCTGTCCTTGTTCATCTTCCACTGCCTGAACCACTGTGCATGCTGTTTTCGGCAAGTGCTTTGGCTTGGGATGTGGGGGTTGAGCAAACCGGCCATCGGATGCCTGCTTCCACGTAGCCCCGCTGGATACTGTAATAATTAGTTTTTTTGAACTAGTTCCTAAATCCTAAATGTAGAAATCATTTTACACATAGGAAGGTTTTCTTCAACATCAACTGATTTCGAATGACGCTGTTTTCAAAACCCGTGTGATTTGTATTTAGGCTCCTAGTACGTATTTGGTGCCATCATCTTCAGTTGTATAATCAATTGGCATAACGCTATGTTCTGATAATGTAGAATTTCTCGACCTAGAAGACCCTGGGTCTTCTTCAGCAACATCAAAAAAGTCGAAAGGATGTTGTTTTCTTGGCCATGTGATTGGTGCCTAGGTTTCTCACCACAGATACTGAAACTGGTTGCTATTTGCTGATGCTGTAGAACTTCTCGCCAAGAAGACACATATCTGTCCAGAAGTTTTGGTCTCCATGACAGATGATATTATTCATGAATGTGAATGTTACCTAGGTCCTTTCTTTCAATACTCCATACAGTTAGGTATATGTAATATACACACCTCGAAGTTATTGAAACAAATTTCTACAAATATAACCAGAAAATAATACAGATCAGATCCATCGCTTTGTCATAAATGAAATAAATACTCTTTTGTACTTATCAATGTTGTTGAATGAATTTATACAGGCCCATCTCTCTCTAAATGACTTTCCTAGGGCTTGAAGACCTCTCATCTATCTACATGAATAGGAAATCGGCAAAATTAGGTAGGACAATTTTAGTTGCATTCTTCCGGTTGACTTCATTACGAAAAAAAAAATTTATTTCTTTACATTTTTACTAATTTTCCATTGTTTACATCAAATAATCAGAACAATAATTTAGAATATCGTCTGTTGAATTGCTCTTTGGTGTAGTAACTATGGAAACTTCCACTTATTTCAGTTGTTGTTATCAGTTTGATGTCTTCGAGATGTCTGTCAAACTTGTCCAATTTCCACAATGGGTCGCTTCGTAATCGGCACATCCTCTCTGCCCACGTCTGAGCCGGTGGAATATTTCTTTTGATGCCTCGCTTGCGACTACCAAGAACCTCCATTACATCATCATAGTAGTTTCTCCGATAATCGTAGAGGCATTTGTAAGGAAGGAATTTGGGTCTGAAAGCAAGAAAGATGATATTATTATTATTGTTATCACTATAATTATAATAATATAAGTTTCATTCCCCAACAGTGAAAACATTCACAGAACAAATTGTTGAAAGTAGGTACCTACAATGATTAATGAAAGTATTCATATGGAAAGCAAAGAGAAAAAGTTACAATGATATTTACATATGATATTTTTTGGCGTGTTGGCTGAACCTATAACTGAACCAATAACTGAACCTGAAAAATAAGGTTTGATGGTGCAGCCAGGAAACAACTGAGTCGTCTCCTCAAGAGTGGGGTACCTTATGAAACCGCCTTGCACCAAATTCTTGAGCGGCGTACGTAGAATCTGTCCCAGGTGGAGAAACAAACCCCCAGGTTAGCAAACGTTTGCGCTCAAGTGATCATTCACCAAAATACCAAAATTAGATGCGAAAAAGCCCTGCATGGTTGAATGTAAGGCATCGTCAGGTGTAGCTGACGTACAAAAACCCTCATATGGGAAGGTTATCGCGTGTATCAAGGCGGAAATCTTGCACCTTGAGTATTCGACTACCTCATCAACGATGAAACAGAGCATATACTTTGTGCCTGCCCCACTGAGCTATACTCTTACCATCTGACCTGAAAGAACCCTCACCATACAAACTAATTGGCTTCGTTAAGAAGCAGGGTTTATTTGGTCGACTGTAAATAGGTGTTATCCACAATAAACCCTTGCGGGTTGCGGTGGAGGGTCGAATAGACCCACTCACTTTTGACCTAACCTAACTATGACATTATCAGTAAAAATATTACAATAGTCGAATATTTCATGGCGATGCATTGAATTTATTGGAGCCTCTGGAGACACCCTACATTTTGTTTTATGAGAGAGAGGACATTGTTAGATCAAAATCTTCAGATNTTCTTCTTTTTTCTAGAATTTTGTATAAAATTAGGGAATTGAGAACGTATTCAAAAACACACTTCAATGTGAGATTTCCGCTGTGTAGCGAAACAAGAGCCGAAGTTTTGTAAACTGTCAATCGGAAATCTCATATTAAAGTGTTTTTCAATACGTTATAAAGGATTTTCATTAAGTATCGGTCAGCTCTACCATATGTATGAGGTTGGGTTAGGTCCAAAGTGCATATTCGATCCTTCACCGTAAACCGCAAGGGTTTATGTGGTTCACACCTATTCACACTCGACCAAATAAATTCAGCTTTGGAGTGAGCCAATGCTGGTAGATTCCGTCAGAAATCCATAAATCTTCTTGCCATCCAAGTGTTCAATCTTTGTTTGGCAATGGCAGGTTCTGCTTCGATGGAGCAGCTTACAGCATCCTTCTTTGCAATGGAGTCGGCAGTCTCATTGCCTTCCAGGCCAGTATGGCCAGGAATCCAGAATGTTAAGTCTTCCTATCGAGGAGAGTCGTTTTTGGCAATTTGATACCAATTTAGACGTTGCTTAGTAGCAATGCCGTATGACTGTCCAAGAATATTTTTATTGACTTTTGTATGAGGTTGGATTCTCCAATCTCTCCGCACACAATTCAATAGCGTGAATTTCCGCTTGAAATACAGTTGCATAGGTTCCTAGGCAGGTTGATATCTCTGTCCTGGGTCTGCGACTGAAAACACCTGCACCAGAACCGGGAGGTGTTTTTGATCCATCTCTGAACCAATAACTATCTGCTCTTAATATTTCTTTTTCTTGGCGGATCCAGCCCTCTCTACTTGGGAACAATACTTCATAAGGCAGTTCATAGTTGTCAGTTGGAGGCATACATTATTCAGATGTCATTTCCAGAATGCCGTGACTTCCAGTGTCAACCAACAGTTTGTTGCACTCTGCATTAAATTGATTTGCGCAATTGGCAATAGGCACAAGTCTATATGCTGTCCATCTAGCCTCTCTCTCCAGAAAAATGTGGAGAGGAGGTAGATTTAGAAGGATCTACATGGCCGCTGACGGTGTGGTACTGATGGCACCGCTGATGGCCAGACAAGCTGTATCTGTAAGCCAGAGAGCTTCACCTGGGCCGTTTTCTGTAAAGCCTTCGGCCACCAGAAAATTGCACCATAAGTGATCATTGGTCTGGCAATCATCACATAAATCCAATCGATTTGTTTGGGACCTGAACCCCAAGTTGTATCCCAAATCCATCGACATGCCCCTAGGGACAGAGTGGCTTTGTGTAAAACTATTTCCAAGTGAGCGTTCAGGTGGTTTTTCATCAAGGACAATGCCAAGATTTTTGATCTCCGTTCCAAATGGAATTACCTCACCAATGAGGAAAAGTAGCGTTAGATCATCCAATTTTCTCCTCCTGGTAAAGGGGATTATTACAGTTTTACTGGGGTTGACAGACATCTGCTCCCCCAGGCACAAACTGTGAACTATTTTTGAGAGGAGTGAAAAACGAATTTCTCCTGAATTATTTCAATTGAAATGAACCAATATTGATTAAAACAAAGTTTATTCAATAAAATCAGTTCCACTACTCAACAAATACCTAATACAAAAGAGGAGAAAACTGTTTATCGAATGTATTTTTGACATGGTAATAAAAGAAATTCCCGCTCATCTTCGTCTTCTCAACCATCTCCAAATCCTGCTGAATCCTCTTCGTGA